GCCATTAACCCCAAACGGTCCGTATGGTCCGTATGGTCCGTATGGTCCGTATGCTCCTTTGGAGGATTGCCCACTGCCGGCGCCACCGAAACCAAGTCTTGAATGAGGACCGAATCCTCCTGGTCCACATGCTCCGCTGCCATCATCGCCAAGCGGTCCGTATGGTCCGTATGGTCCGTATGCTCCATTAGAGAATTGCCCACTGCCGGCGCCACCGAAACCAATGAGTGTTGATTGAGGACCTAATCCTCCTGGTCCACCTGCTCCGCTGCCATCAACGCCAAACGGTCCGTATGGTCCGTATGGTCCGTATGAGCCTTCGGAGAATTGCCCACTGCCGGCACCACCAAAACCGATGCCTTCTGATTGTGGACCTGATCCTCCTGATACACCTGGTTTGCTACCATAAATATTAAATGGTCCATAGGGTCCATATGGTCCAGCAAGACCTCCGAAAACTCCGAACCCTAATTGAGAACCTTGGCTACCAGGACTGCCTGGCCCGGAACTGCCAAAACCAATAACTCTAGATGAATCTGACCCTCCTGGCCCGCTAGATGATGATGGATCTTGGTTTGGCAGGCGTGATGTTACTGGACCACTTGATGGTGAGTAATATGGACTATCACTTGGACCGTACGTGGAGAGAGGATTTTGGATAAAATCAACATTAACCTTCGCTCTGTGTAATCCAAGCCCATCAGGTGTAGGGATATCTGCACGAGCGGGAAAGACAATTGGTTTGATATCTTTGCTGCTGGACGAGGGAGAACAGAGATCGCCGATAGGTTGGAAGCTGCAGAAAAAAAAGAAGTCAAAATTATTCAGAGGATCGAGTGTTTGAGAATTACTGTTTTTTTCTTAAGAGGAGAAAATCTTTACGGTGATGATTTATCGGAGTTATCGTCTGTTATCGTCTCGACTGGTGTTGATCCCCCATCTGGTCCGTAAACTGAATCATCTTCAGGTACATACTGAGTACCTGATGATGCACCGCAATTCGGCTCTATCGCTGGTATTCCTTTGCAATCTGACAGTCCTGAACTCACGAGGGTAGTCGATGGAACTGTTGTTGCCGCACTTTGTCTTACCGCTTCATTAATTGCAACTGCTGATGCAAATAAAGTTGATATCCCTGATCCACAATTCGCCGATGCAGCTGCTATTGCAGCGCACAGCACTAGTCCTAGACGGATAATCTGCATTATATCCGCTTCAGTATTATTTTTTTAATACTAGCGGATTGAATTCTCGATGCTAACTAATCTCTCAGTACGCATGATCCACTCTTTTTATACGTTAGTCCTCTTGTAGATCGTTGGGAAATACTTTGTTTTCTTCTTCTCTTGTGGGCTTGATGCAGGAAGAGTTCCAGTTCCACTTCCTCGTGGCTTCCCGGAGAAATCTCAAAGAAATTTTTGTTTTTGTATTTGATTCCGGGTCTGTGGTATGTTGAATTGCAAAACTCGAGAATATCCCGCTTTATTTGTTTGTTGTTAACTATAACAGGATTTAAGACGTGTTTATATTATTTGTTATTGTTTTGTGTCAGTGGGTGGACAACCGTACACCGTAGATCGGTTAATTTGAATGTCATCATCTGCTTTGATATGGCTGATGCAAAATTACCGCTTTACTCTGCAACAACTGCAATTCATTCCAGTTTATAAAGTCCATTGAACTCTTTCATAATTGATTATTGGATATGATTAATTTTATCGGATTTTCATCACTGATTGATTATCTAATTTATTCTTAAGCCATTACCCATACAAATTCTTCGTTTTGTCTCTTCTTATCTTCAAAGGATTGAAATGATTATTCCACGCAATAAGTCAAGTCCAGAATTTATCAAAGAGCCTCTGACGTTATGACGTTAGAAATAATTCAAACAGAAACTGCAAAAAAAGTATTTTTTTTTATGTATGATTTTTGCGGCCGAGACTTGCAAAAAAATCGGCAGAGGAAATTTGAAATCTAAAAATTAACGCAAGACGTCTATTATTTACTTGCAAATTTTCGATATCGATTTTTCGAATATTGAAAACAATTTTACCGATGGGGTATTATATAGACGGGAGTAAATGACAATGAAAAAACCACATGAGTTGTAAAAAAATGCATATCTTTTATTAATTCATATCAAATGGTAACAGTACAACGATTATTGGAAAGATCAATAGTCTGCTTCTGATCGGGTCTAGCGATTTCATCAATCGATGTTGGACTCTTGGGGTGTACGTTGATAACGATCGCAATGTTCGTCAGGATTTTTCCAAGTCGAAGATTGTTGCCTCGATATTTCACATTTCCATTCATAAGGCCAAGTCTGATCCCATTGACATTCTGCACATAAAATTTATGTTCAATTAGATCTGGTGCATATGTTAATGTCATAGATATCTTACCTGTATCAGGAGGAAAACGAGAAGAGCAGTTACCAGTTTCATGATAAAAATGCAGACTGCGTCATTCCATTCTCCCGGGGTTCAATTTGTCGCGTGTCTCATCAGACGTGACTTCTGCTCAAAACAATTATCAATAAACAATAACTTCCGGATCAATCGGGAAATTGGGTCATAACGTCAAGAATACATCGAGTCAAACAGGAAAAAAATGTATTTACAATAGTTAGTAATGAGGTATGAGATTTTTACACTGAATATAAATAAGTATTTTGCACGTGAAAGGGGATCTTCATTTGTTAAAAAAATCGGCAGCTCGCTGTCTCTGTGGAAGATTGAGAAGATTATCCGTCAGTATGATATTTCGAGATTGACGCTGATTATCTGAGAGATCTGGAGTTCTGCCGGATGTAAATCTTGGAGTTAAATTCGTTGTTTTAACGCCGATTGAAGGAGTTCTTGGTGTTCTCCGAGGTGTGGGAGTACTGATTATTTTTAATTTCTGGGTAGCCAGTCTTCTTGCTGCTGGTGACATAGAGCTCAGACGATCAATGGTTGATAAACTCCTGGGTGACGGACTGCGACCAGAAAAATTATTGTTACTCGGAATGATTTTTATTAAAACGGCACGAACAGAAAGACTTCGATAAAAATTACGTGAATTTCGTAATTCGGAGGACAAATAATTCACGATAAAAATTAGAGAACACTCTGTAATTCAAAAATATAATGCGAAAATACTCACGTGGCAAAAGATCTTCTGGCTGCTTCGAGAGCTTTATTCTTCCTGTCTCTGTGCCTTTCCCCTGCCTTTTCCGCCAACTGCAGTGCTATTTTTTCCCTCTTGGGTGGTTCAGCCATCCTGAACGAGGGGCCCTGATTGCTCCTGAACAGGGGTGTATCACCACCATCCAACCTGAAAGGAGTCCCTTCAATCTGCCCCCAAGTCATCAAAGGACTGTCACATTCCCCAGGTCTAGGACTCGGCGTGGCCACAAAACTGAAGCCATTAATCCGCGGCGTTGGATTCCTCACTATTTCCTTCCCATCAACTCCTATTTTTCCATCATTCACCTTCGACTGGCATTTTGCCAACTCATTAATAGTCTCTTTATTCTGTTTCTCATTGAATGGATTGACAGTGAGTCTAGTGTTATCATGGACAACTTCTTGCTTCCTCTTGGCCATTTCTACTTTCTCATCTGGAGTCAGTTCCACTCCATCGGGGACATACATTATGTAATTTTTATTCTTGTAGCTCCAGGTGTCGAGTGACAGGGGCTTTTTTATCCCTTTTCCATCCCCAAGAGCTGCTATCTTGTTCGCCTCAATTGCCAGTAGCTTTGACTTCTCTTCGACATCATAGAGCCACGAATATTTTATCCTCTGTCTTTTCTCAGCCTCTTCCATCATCTCCTCGAAGCTCGCATTGTCCTCGCTAGTGTGAGTACTCAAAAAGCTGTCCAATCCAATCCTGTCTTTCACACCATCATCCAGAGTGCTTTCTGATTTTGCAATGACACTTTCGCTGTCGGATATTTCACCGGGTTCCTCTCGGAGAGGTGTCTCGAATGTCGCTGGACTTGATACTCTCTCGGTGACAGGACGACCTGAGCTGTATTTCTCGTACAACTCGCGCATTTTTTTCACATCATTTTGCTCCAATGCTGCCAGGTAATCGTTCTGAGCTTTTAACTTTTCCAGATCCGGGAAGAAGTCTCGCTCTATGATTTTTCCCATACGCTCCACGTACGCCTCTTCGTCAAGAATTTTTGCCTTGAATTTTTTTGATCGCAGAGGTGTTCCACTCGGTTTCTTGAAGATCTGGAGATCAGGGTTTTTTCGGGCTGCCTCCAGGGCTTGAGAACCTGGAGTACTCAGTGGTGAATACATCTCCCAATTAAATTGTCCCCAATTTAGAAGTTATAATGGAGGTTATCCACTGGGTGACTGTCACTGTTTTTCTATTTCTTCAGTTACCTAAATTATTAGGCAACTAAATAGAAAAAAAAATTGTCCGAGAGACTATTATTGTTTGAACACTCGATTTTTACAGATTAATGCGTCACTAAATACTGAAGATCACTTATTTTTTCTTCTCGAATGTCTGACATGACACACAGCGATATCAACAAGCTTTAGCTCCTATCCAACTGTTTTATCAACACAGCTCTCCAGGAAGTGGTGACATCTTCATCTGAAGCTGCACGAGTGGAAAACAAAAAATTCGAATTATTACCGGGAAAATAGTGCGCTGTACGAAAAAAACATGAACGATTTGTTTTTATTTTTTTTATTTATCCATCACCAGAGGTATAATCATTCGATTTTTACACTCAAGGACTTGTTTCTAATTAATCCGCATAAAAAGCTGTCTCTTCAATAATTTCCCATTTTTTATTTCTCCCTCTCAAACCTCAAGCTCTACTCCCCCAATTTCGAATTATTATCAAAGATTAATATTCCAGTATTTGTTCATAATTTATTGAGAAAAATGGGATTTTCCGTGAGACGTGCGCACAAGATGAAAAACGCATGCGCCAGGGTGCGTAATTGGTCATTAACAGAACGGAGCGATTGCCGAAATTGAAGTAACAAATAACGAGTTATATTCTGGTTGTAGGTATTCGTTGGATTGCCCGTTGGAGGAAAATACGAGAGGGTGAAATAACGTGGCATAAGATACTTGGAGTAGCGAAAGTGACTCGAACTCCTAGAGGTGTTGGGATGCAGCGTTGACAGACATATGAGGATTCCAGCGGCGAGATCGGATATGTGCGCCGACTACCGAAAACCCCGGTACACCACAATATACCACCAAAAATTACATTTTCAGAATAAAATATAATATTCCCTAAATATCAATCATCGACGATCTACCCAATATAATATAATGTATAAATTATTCTATCTGTAAATGACATATTAATAATATTATACTCCGACTGGAAATGCAATTTATTAGAGATACATGGATTTTCGTATGCATCATATGTATATAGATATATTATTTATATAAATATTTAATGTGTGAGATATATTTTCGGATGAAAATGCAATATATCACGTGGAATTATTTACGTATATTTTTTTTTTACAGTTGTCAATGAAGAAACTTTTATTTTCAATTCTCCTCCTCAATATTTCTTGAAAGAATCATTGAGACTAAATACGGAGAATTGTTGGCGGAACACTGTCATCTCCAACGTCTCACTTACACTGCAAGACTAAATTACGACAGTCCCAGAAGAAGAGATCAACCTCTTTTTTTTTTCACCCTCTGTTATTTACATCACAGCTAAGGTAAACTTTTCGTTCGGGATCTTTGCACCCGTTCAGCGTCTGTCTTCGAGTCGCATATTCGTGACGATTGATATCTTCCGTCCTTAAAAAAAATGCTCCTCCATTTATTTATCAGAAAATACTAATTACTCTGGATAATTATCGACTCCGATCCCGATGGAGCGTGATGAAAATTATGAAAACTTTATGCAGTACGTCCAGTCACGTACTGGATTTTTTATTTTTCACCTTGATAATGATTATTTATCTCGACAGTGAATAGTTTTGAATTTCTTTTTATAAACTCGACGACAAGGAGGGAAAGGATATTAACGTTGAGATGAAAAATCAAAATAAATGGCAAATGTTTTGGTTTAAAGGCACTCACGAAGCTTTAAACATAAACATGGGAGGTGCGATTTGACGTACAAGCGAGAGGAAAAGCCCTTTACATTGGGGTATGGAGTCTGCTTTGAGAGTATCCAAAGAGGAAGAGTACAGAGACTGTGGATGTGGATGCAGAGGCTGGAATCTGTAAATCTGTCATTGCAACCATATCCCTGGTGCGCGTGCGAGTCTCATACTGGCGTCGCGATGCTTGCCAGCATTAAAAAATTTTTTTTCTCTTATTTTCTTTCCTCTTTCATCCATTCAACTATCCAATCATCCACTCCTTTCTATTTTTTGGCCTTTCCTTTCTGTGAAAACTATTCGGATGTCAACTCGCATTATCGAACCGGAACCGAATCCCTTTCGACTGAACAAGAAAATCATTTGAAAATATTTGCGAACACCAATTATCATTCCTATTTCAAGTGATTCACATTTTTCATTGAAATCGTATTGCTATAATCACTCAATAATTATTAACGTTAATTTGTAACATTGAGGAATTGTGTGAAATTGTTTTTCTCAAACAGAAAAAAAAACGGAATGACTGTTATAATTGGAATGTAATTAAAATAGTGACAGAGATTGAACTGGAGAAATGATTTTTTAATTGATAATAAAGAAATTGAATTGTCTTTTGTAATAAAAATAATCGGTAAATGTCTCTCGGTTGATTCCGTAATTCGATGGTCAATTGCAGGTTTAATTACCGCCGTTCAATGAAATTAAAAATTGATAATAAATAATAGAAACTGTGAACCTCGACTTTCACACAATTATAGTCACGCTGAGTGAAAACAATTTTCTCCGAAATCTGAGTGAATTTGTTTCCCCGAATGGGGAGGAAGCAAAATGATGACGGATTCACGATTCTCGTGGGTGCATCCACCGAGATGACACAATTGGTGAATAAGTGTCTGCAAAAAAATTGAAAGGAAGATGAAAAAAATGTCCATCCGCACACAACCCCGTGGAATGCATTTTTGTACGATTAATTTGTCACAGAGCAAATAAAGTGACAAATATATTGTCCTGATGATTCTACATCTTTCTTTTTTCACGAGAATTCGTGTTAAACAGTCAAAACCCCTGAGCATCCGACAACTTTTTGTCCGAATGAATGAACAACCAATTCCGGTTGATGAAAGGGTTTATCAACCCCAGGGTATCATTTCATTATTTGTTCGACTATTCACCAAATAATTCAGCCACAATGTTGCATATTGTGAACTGGGAAACCACTTGCATGAGAATGACCCACTTTTTTTTCCATTCATGTTTGCATACGCACGTAATAATTCATGCCCCGCAAATACGCATTGCGAAACCTTTCGATACAATGAAAAATACATCATACGTTCCAGTTTAAAAAATTGCAATTTTGACTAAACAACAACAGGTGACGGGAAATGACGGAAAATTTTTCAAAATTCTCCATGGCAAATATTGCATAATTACATTATTTATACTATTTTATTATATTGCTGGATTAAAGTGAAGTATTACCGAAATTTTTGACTGAATTATGACGGAATTGATTGAAATGATCAATTGAAGAAGTCATTGTTCTCAATGGAATATCAATTTTAAAATCACTGAACTGTTCTTGCCGCACAAGAACAAGGAAGACGAATGGGAAAAACTGAAGTGGAGGAACTGTTCTATTTTTTGCCCAGGAAACCCGACCTTTTGGTACTTATTTTTTTTTTCTCGTCCTAGGGTCATCAAGCACTTGAAAACAAAAAAATGAAGAATTCCACTAAATGCAACAGTACAAAAGAGAAACACCCAGAACTTAGCCCGGGTATTCTCCAATTTTTTGCAATCATATACGTTGTTTATTTGCCGTTGAAATATTTACAACTGTTGGAGAGTTCGGAATGATCTTGAAGTAGTCTAAAGGAAATAGATGGAGGAGGTCAAAGATGAAAAGAATACACGAATTTTACTGCCGTCGTCGTTATGCTACGACGAACATCTCGTCGTCTCTGTAGCTCTTTACGTGCAACTCTCAGTGTTTAAATCCAAAATTAACACTTGAACTTCATTAAACAACCGCTATTTAATTTAAAGACCGCCTGGCAGATCGATTCCGGGAAAATTCTTTACGATGAGTCACAATTATGAAAATTAACACTCAAACTTCATTAAATAACTGCAGTTGCAATAAATGCACAAAAAAAAAAATGATTGACCAAATGAGTAATTAGTAAAAAAAAAATGAGGAGCTGATTATTTGGAAATTAGTTATGTATTAATTATGGATTAAGTGTGGATTAATTGTGGATTAATTAGTTCGTGTTGTAATATTTCTTTTCAAATAGCATTTTGTTTTATTTTCTTTCTGTAGCTGTTGTGATTTGATTATTGTAATGAATTTCTCGTGACAGTAGAAAATGAATGACACAATGGTAACTAGCATTTTGGAATACTTTTCTGGCAGCTAGAACCGCTAATATGTTTACACTGCCTGACTCCCGTGCTTCTCATCAATCACTGACACAAAGTGTCAACCCAGTATTCATCCAACCATCGTTTTGTTTCTAGTTCCTGTCCCATAACTTACCAAAGACTTCAACTCTCAACCCCGAACCAAATCATTCACCATGCAAACTTTGTCTTCATCTCCTTTTTTTTCCCCTGCAGACCTAAACGACTTGGCAATTTACTAGATTTCGTAATGAGTGGTCGGTAAAAATACAAGACAATAGTTTGGCACCAGAATATTTTTATTCAGTGTAAACAATCACATAATACTTTTTTTATTATTAATTTAGCTAATGGTCGTATGGACGAGGTTCATTTTGGATAATTTATTGAGGCAATTAACAAACGAGTTTTGTCACGGTACATATGCGTCTTTTATTTGGGAACGTGTGGCGGACTAAGTTTTTGGCTCGTTTGGCATTTGAGACAAGCCAATATAAATAGATCCACTTTGCTCCTACAAAAGGCACTTTGTTTTACCAGTCAACTGTGGACAATCAGCTTGGTTTGTGTGATTCCATGATCTCCAACGTTTACCAGCACTTGAACACTTTTTTTTTTTCGTCCGGTCTTTGGTTCCTCTTCATTGATTTTTCATTGAATGTCGAGGCATTTTGAGGTGATAAATAATCCCTCGTGAATAGTACGATTGATCTTCATTATCGGGAATCAAGAATCTCCTCGTTGTTGTTTAGGCATGTGGTTTTAGCGGATTAATACAGATTGTCAAATAAATCATGTTAAACCCCAGGAAATCATCAGTCGAAAAATAACAAAATCTTTTTTATTACAATTCTGTAATTTCGGTTAAAGTTAAATCCAAATAATTATAGTACAGGTACGCTTTTATTTGTTATTCTTGTCGGATGATCTCTTCAGTTATGACTCAATTTTTTTGGAACACGTGCATTCTAAATTTATGGTATTAAATCCGACTATTTGAAAGCTACGATCCTAGAGTTTAGGATGAAATAATAATAACTAACATAACTTTAACGATAAAACTACGATAAATATTCACCTTTGGGAAATTGGAGTTGAGGGAATTATTCTGAATTGATTTGATTTTTAATTGAACGAAAAATATGAGAGAGTGTGACACTTTGAGAGATTAATTTTATCTGAAAATCAATTCAATTTATAATTTTTCTTTCCCACTTCAACTTCCCACTCCGTCATTTGAATCAATAAAAAAATATTTATACAACAGTCCAATTACCGCGTTGACAAGATTCTTTGGTATTTCATTCTCAAAACAGTTCCACAATTTTTTTTTATTCATTTCCGGTAATAAAAGATACTATCGTGGGCCATAAAGTGGAGCTCCATGATGCGGATGATGCGGTGAATAATGTCCAGCGACATTGATGTGCGTCGGTTGATGGTGTCCCGGGTAATTCCAATGTGCACTGCTGTAGAACTGATGGTGATGATGATGATCTGAATTTGATAGCGTTGGTACTGGCTGGACTGAACTCTGATATGTACTATCATTTCCCGGTGTGCTACCTGTTGCTGGTCTCTTCGCTGGATTTTGTGGAGACACACCTGTGGAGTTCGATGTATCGCAATCGTCGGGCTCGCAGTCTCGAAAACCCTTGGCGAAGGGGTTGCTGGCTATTTTTAATTGAGTTATCCGATGATTTTGGTAGGCTGTCACCGCAGTAAATCGAGTCTCCGAGAATGAAAAGGTCTTGAAGTTCTCGGTTCGAGGGTCCGGTGCCGAACCTGGGGGTGAGGGTGCCACCACTATGTGACAACGGGGTTGATATCTGTGCATTGAGTTCAGAATTATCTAGAACATATCCATTTTATAATTATTCATCATTATTCCATGACCCTATTTTTTCTGTATTTTTCCTGAAGTTCAATAAATTTTCAAAAATCTGAGAAAAACCGCCGGAAAATCATAGCATTCCCAATCACCTATAAATATCCACCCCACCCCAAAATAATTCAAATTCAGCAAATAATTTTTTAATTTTTCCATACACTCGGTAAAATAAAATAAATCATAAACAATAAACTCGGACTGGCATTTCCCTCAGAATTACGCCACAAAATCCCAATTACACCTCCGAATTTCATATTTTTAGCATCAGTATTTACGAAATAATCTCCACATGTTTAAAAATACACCGCCACTTCCTCGCGTGGAGATTTTTTCCAGCACTTCGAGGGATACCGCAAAAATTTTCACACGACCAAGACATTTTTCTCCCGTTGGATAAACCCGAGTTGCGGAAGAAAGTTATGATGATCTTGAAATCTCATATGCTGTATAAATAACAATAAAAAAAATGGTGAATAATAATAATGAACAAGGAAAGAGGACACATGAGGAGGAAGAGAAACCACAGGGGGCGGCCACGATGTTTGACAGGCTGAAGCATCCCAGTGACTAATTAGTGTAAAAAGTAAACCCACCAAAGCCCATGATGCCCCAAGTGTTGTACGACTGAGATATTCTGAAGGAATACGACACCCTCTCAAGCACACGTGCTTCCAAAGACTCCCCTGAACACGTGGTGATCTGAACAAACGCCGAGGATTTTCGAGTGAAAGCGACACCCCGCTGCTCCCTTTAATACCCCTCCTCACCCCTAAAAAAATTATTTTTCCAGTTTGAAACAAAATATAACCCACCGCCATCCCCATCTCGTGGGTCTCTACCAGAGATCAACCAGAAATTTCATAATCTGGCGTCAATTAAGAAATCCTAATCCTAATCACCCCTTTCTGAAATTATTTTTCCCCCGGAGACGTTTCACGGCTCGATTCAGTTGGCTTTAACCGCACCACGACATTTTTCATTCTCACGTGACAAGAAGAAAGGAAAAAATTCAAATAAATTTGTTCTGTCTGAACGCTCCGGATTTTTCGGATTCCTTTCATCCCCTCGTGGCGCCTGCCACTGCCAATTAAAAGTGATAACGAACGCAATCGATGGGGCGAGTGTTATTCTCATTTTTATCATTTTTAACACATGAAAAATTGTTTTTATGTAACGAAGAGAGGATACTTGTTTAATTTAAGTTTAATTGTTTAACGAGAACTTGACTTGCAGGATTTGACTGAAGTAATTATTATTTGGATATCTCCGACGAAATTAATTATATCGCTGATGAATTGTTAATGGAATAACAAAATATAAAGATGTCGTTTTTTATGTTGAATTGATTTAAACAAATGGGTTAGTGGAGAATGAATATCGAGGCCGTGGCCCAATCGCGCTGACATTCGCTGAATTCCTCGCTCGCCTTCATTAGCTGTAAATGTCGTAATCGTATAAAAATTCTTTATCTATCCACCGAGTGTTCACAGGATTATTTATCCTCCCTCTAGTCCAGCTTGGGGAGTCAAATGCATAATTATGTCTCGACAATTGGCCAGTGAAAAATTATTTCCATAATTTTTCAGTCCCAGAAGCATTACAATAATTTTCTTGGAGGGGTTCACCACAGACTCGTATCTCAGGTCAATTAAGGGGAACTCGTCCGAAACGACAAACACGTGGAACCCACAGCAGTATACACACACCACAGATATTTTATGTGGCAACTCTCCCTGAACCAACAGTATTTATTCCAATTCGTAAATAGATAGCAACTTCTCGCTCCAGTTTTATTTTATCAGTCTCCCAGGAAAATTCATTCCATTTTTTATTCCATTTTTTATTCCATTTTTTATTACATATTTTATTCCATTTTTTATTCCATATTTTATTCCATTTTTTATTCCATATTTTATTCACCGGTTATCGCGTTGAATTTTATTTAATAATAGTATTGCAAGTCAAAATATTTTGATGTAAATATATTACGTTACGAGAATATGAGCCCGAAAAATGTTACAAGTCGAGATATTACGATATCGTTATATTATTTTTTAAAATATTACAAATTAAAGGATGAATTCTATGGATGCATTCGTAATTCGATCGGTAACATTTTATGATTCGGAATATTGAATAATTATTGAGATATTGAGGGAGTAATTGCCCTATTTAACAATAATGAAATTATTGAATTGATTGATCGAAGAATGAAAAAAAATGGGACGATCCCCTTTGATAATTTCAATTAATCTATTGAAGTAATGAGAAAGGATTTTCACTTACGTGTCCATTATCATCTAGTTGATTATTCGTCAGCTTGAGTTTATCAAATGTGACTGGCTGTTTCATCCAATGTGCACCACTTGCTGGGCTGTCAGGATGTACATGAATCCTCGGTGGTGACACAGGATCTGCCCGACCAGCGACCACCCATGCACTGCTGTGAAAAGCATATCTGTATCTCTTGTCGTCGCAGGGAACGAAATCCATGACAAGGAGGTACTCAGCATTTGGTTCCAGTCCAAAAAGTCGACACTGAACAATTTCAAAAAGAAATCCAAAAATCCATTAAATCCCCATCAGATCAGATCCAATGATCTAATGATTATTAATCAACCTGAAAGGTAGGGAACATCCTTCGTCCTGCTTTGGTGACAATCATCTCGGTCCCCAGCTGATGAAACTCTTCCCAGAGAGGTCTTGCCTCAAGAGCAGCGCCGGCACCAGCGAGTGCAGGATGAAGAGGTCTTTTTGATCGATTTTCATCAGGTGTACCTGTTGAATTTGCGAGATCATCGGTCCTCCGGTGATTATTGTTGCTGTCATTCCTGGGAGTCTCTGAGGCACCAGATGGTGGGGCCAGTGATGAATCCTCAGGGCTTCGAGAGGGCTTAACTCTTCCAGCGGTCTCCAGACAAGCTGGAAAAAATATTGTCCTCGAATCAGAGATATTCAGAGTATCGGTTAACAATGCAAAGAAACAGTCTGAAATGTTGCGCTAAGTGCATTGCAAGTTGGAGGAATAAAAGGGAACTCGGTCGGCTAAAAGAAGAATTCGTTTAGGACAGTTAAAATTAAATCGCCCAGTGATTGTACTCCACAGAAAAAAATCTGGATTGTTATTAAAATTGGTAGTTCATTTGGGAAAGAGAAATATTTAATCAATTGTCAATTATTTAAGGAATTGGGATTAATTAATCCATTAATCGACTGATTTTCGAACAATGATCTTCCGAGAAACGTCCAATTACGGACAATTGCAATTTTATTATCGTGCAAGTTTCACCAATTTCGATGAATTCCGATTTTTTATAAATTACGAATTGTTTGATTTAATTTTAATACATAATTTATCGATTTATTGTTATTCTAGAAACATTCTGCTTTCGGATTATTGAAATTCTCGAAATCGATTATCCGATTTTTAGAAATCGGATTATTTAAGGTAGAACTGAGTAATGGCCGATATGAAAAATTTTAAGGCGAATCGCAATCGGAATATTAATTTTATCAGTATCGATTTTCTAGGAATACCTAAGATTTACCTTCCATCTGCTGCATGGGTGATGGAATCGTAGATATTTGCTGAGGATGTGGCGGTCCATGATGGACCGGCCACTGCTGATAACAACAATCCGTGGAAATGCTATGCCTCTGATCATGATGCTGCATATCCATCACGAAACGATAAAAGATAAAAAAAAAAACGCGCAACAATTTGAAAATAATCACCAACCCCCAACCGATCGGACAGTCTCCACAAGTCACAGTATCACCCCAATAAATTTTCCAAAGCAGCTGTAATAATCATGATACAACTGATGTCACTGTCACTGATGTGGTATTATATTAATCGTAATTCAAAGTGTCTTGTATAATCACAGCTGATATTCACTGGGTGCCAGGGAGTTGAGGGAATATCCTGACGATTTGGTTCATCGTCGCGCTACCGAACACTCGCCAACAGCCGGTGTCTTCACCTCGCTATCCGATCGCTGACAGAGACCAAAATCCCTCGGATTTTACACAGGGCAGAATGCAACACTCGCCAAGGAACGAGACCAATGGAAAAAGAGAGATGCTCCTATGAGAGTACCGACGGACACAAGTGCTTTACCCCGAGTCACTGCTTTTGACTTATCAACGGCTCATCATTTCCCTTTTTCACTCCTCTCTTCAATCATTTTTTCTCTTTTTTTTTCTTTTAGCTCCTCTCTTTTATTCACAACACCCTACCATCTTCTGCCATCCTCTGCCATCCTCTGCCATCCTCTGCCATCCTCTGTCATCTTCTCCCTTCATCCCTCCAATGCATCATCTTCCTCTTACTTTTTTTTTCTACTTCTTTTTTTCTTCCTCTTCCCCTCGGTCGACGCCATCCAACCACGAAATCTTCAGACACCAAAGGTGTGGTTTTCTTGGTGGGTCCCTCCTACATTGTACAAAACCACCCACACTTGAAGAGAGAAATTTTCTTGGCCTCGTACCGGTTGCTCGAATCATCTTGGCAAATTGCCCTGCCGGGCACCCAGGACCAGACGCTCGGATGCCGAAGGCGGAGCTTATAACATAAATAAAATATGCCCCCCCAATTTTTCATTGAAAAAACAATAAAAAACGAACCGATCTTATCCTCCACAGGGCATGTCACTTTATTTCGTATTCATACCTTTTTTTTTTAATCATCCATTACATCCACAGCTTCCGCATGGATCTGCAAGAATTCTCCATTTTCCATTTGCCGATTTTCCTCCAGGTATACCCCCAGGGAATTAAAGAAATAGAAATAAAATCCAGAAAATAGTGAAGCCCGTCGATTTAAATTGATGTACATCCAAAATTCAATGCTTCACGCATTGATCCCAGAAATTAATTACAATCCCAAATGTCACGTTTATATATACTCTATATCTATATCTCGATTTTTATGAATGGGGGAGTCTAAAAGGATTTTGTAAAATCAACGACTCAATAAAAATTGTTTATAGTTTTGTGGTTGATAATAATGGAAGAGATAATGTAGTAAGATGCAGTAAGATCATGAAGAAATGAAGTTGACGAGAATTGTAAATTTTTTTAAGAGAAAAGAAAATGAAATCGTATTGCTTTCTCATTCTGGATGTGAGTTATGTGACTCTTGACTTGGCAGGCAAATAGAAGGCGGAGTCACTCGGCTGTCGAGTCCCTGCCCAACAAATTAGTATACGTAGTTTCAATTCACTCTTTTCGTTTTCCACGTTCCTCATCCCCAGTGTGTAAATGCTCTTCTCTTTTTATCCTCACACATGCCACACAATTCACTAGTGATTGCCCTGGTTATTTCTAATCGATTGACTAATGAAATATCTGTGATTATCAGGTGAAAAAAAAATTAAGGTACTCCAACATCTGTTATATACTTTGTTTTTTATTTTTACACGGGGATATTTCACATGGACCTGAACAGAAGAGTAAAAAATATAGTCACAGTATAATCTTTAAATTAGTTTATCTGAGTAAATATTTATCGGTGATTGGATGACTTGATTGCAGTTTGTGATACATTTCTTCGCTCGGCTGCCTTTTCAGTCTGGCTCATAAGCTAAACGACAATTTCAATGCATAATTTTATATTTTTGATTTCATAAGGCTGAATAAGTTTATCCTTACGCAATTAGGAACATTTTGACATTTGAAACATTGAATTATTTCAGAATTTTTACGTCACGAGCCTCGCTCGTCTAATCATCAAATATTTCACGTTACATTCAACATTGAGATTCCCTTTTTTAAGATAACGATGTATTATTTCCTCCACATCATTCCGTAATAATATCTCTCTTACATAATACTCGGCAATACTTAATCGAATTTGGCAATTCACGCAGAGAAAAAATATTGGAACAAGGCCTTCTATACGATCATCATCGGACAAATCGAGAACTCTCGATATTGAATCAAAAAATGGGAATGTGCAGAAGGAAAAATAAAATTAACAGCAGATTCAATTGAGTAGAACAGACGTAACACATAATTCCACGCACCAGGCGCGTATTGAATATTTTTTTGACAATTTCCCTTCTGTTATTTGATGTTGCGAGGAATATTTGTTGTTTTTCGGAATCTATTTCGTAAAAATCAACTAAATTTTCAAGTTGAAGACCATACTCAGGAATTGTTCGTAGTGAATTGTGATGACTCCGTCCTGGTCGGTGTCGAATTTACGGAAAGCTGATGTCAGGGTCTGAAATAATGAATAACAATGAATACAAATTTTTATTTACCTATAAATCGTTCCTACTTACATAGAGCGCAATGCAGCATTGAATAAAATCATCAAAGTAAATGGTGCCCCTTCCCAAACGATCGTACTTTCTAATCAGCATATCAATGAGGCCTTCTGACAGACGATATCCAAAATTCGTGAGTGCTGTCTTTAGCTCGTGACGGTCAATGTTGCCACTGTTATCTCTGTCGAAAGATCTGAAGCAATTCTGCCAATCTGTCACGTATTTCCAGAGAGCTCCGAACTCATCGAAGCTCACTGTTCCATTCTGGCTCTTATCGAACATACCTGTTTCATTTGGATCACTTTTTTCAATGTCAAACATACCTGGCCGAACAGAACAAGAACCAGGGAAAATACCTTGAGTATCTTTGTCATGGATATTCGTAGAGATAGTCAACGTCCCAGCCAATGTCAATTAAAAATCGTTAGAAACATTTTAATTCGGTAAAAAAAATTGATGAATAAAAATTCGATATAATTAATTAATTTGATTATTAAATGTGTAGTGAACCCCAGGTGGAAAGAACTGGGACATTGACTTTATTGTGATCTTTCGTAATACGTAGCCTACTTCGTGTCATGCGTTTTCTCTGGTCCCAGTACACATTCACTAATTACCCAAGGTTTTGAATTACGAAATGATAAAACTTACCGATCATTAGACGAACGGTTTCGGGGTTGAATGGTGTCCACGTGCCATTGGAAAGTGCTTGCTGCAATTCATCTGCACTGATTGCTCCAGATCGATCCTTATCAACTCTGAAATACCCCAATAACTCCAGATAAAAATCTTGGCAATGATCCAGTGATTGTTTCAATTCACTGGAGAATTACACATTTCGTACAAATTTTTTTCTCATAAATATTCAAAAGTTGCAACAGGTGAGATACCTTTTAGGATTGCATTTGAGTTAGGAGATAATTACAGGAAGAGGCAGGGCCTCAAGGTCGGGGAGCAAAATCATATGACGTGGAATGATGACATTTCAGGAAGGCTTGTGAGGTATGAGTTGTGAGAAATGTGTTAATTCAACGCCTGACGCAATGAATCTCTCGTGAGGAGCATAATACGTCATTGAACTATAACGTACCTTTGAAAGACGTCCCACAAAAAATCGCGACTTGGCATGGGCGAGACGAACGACATTTTATCAAATTTTAAAATAACTCTCTGTTTGTTGATGACAAGGCTCAATGAGATAAACAACGCCCAGACGTTATGCACGTATTTAGTACCGGACAAATCGCTCCAAATCACAGAGCAAAGTACGATATGAACACTGGAGTAATTAAATGTCAATTGTACCAACTGCTATTTGAGATTTTTAGTGGTCGAAATGGAAACACTTAGGACAAACTTCTCAGGTTAGGTGTGACGTCGTGTCCGTCAATACATGGATTTTGTTAAAAAAAATTCGTGTCACCAATTACTAAAAAAACAAGTAATTGAATGGAATAATTACTGGATAAAGTGCATTAAAATTGCATAATCTCCGAATAATCCAAATCGGTTCTATTCTTAAATTCTGCAAAATTTAACGACATGAAAACGATTAGAATAAAAACCTAATTTCTAGTGCAAATCGAGTGATCGTGTACGTGTTAATTATTTCAATTCCAGTGACAAAATTTCCTCCCACGTCATTTCAAGTTATGAAAATATAACTTTCCTTATTGTCTCTTGTGTTTTTAGACTTGCTTGATATTTCAATAAGATGTCAGAAGCAGAGTGTCCATCCAGTACTGAAATCGACGTAATAATACCAGAACAGGCATTTCTGTATGAAACAGAAACCCTCGAGTACATCCTGTGCAAACCAAAATTACTTCCACTGAAGTCAGTGTCACTTGAGAAATTGGAGAAAATGCAAAAAGAGGCCAATGAGAAGATAAAAGCTAACCGTGAAATAGACCAGAGCACTGAGAGCAGAGACAAGTAATTCAATTGAATTATTCAAATGGTGGTAGTCAGAAGGAATAAATAAAAATGAGCGTGGGTCCTCTAGTAACGGAAATTGTCCTGGCGTTTTGTCTGGCTGCGACTCTACTCTACAGATATGGAAATGTATTCAGGAATCATATTGTTGTCACATTATCGGTGCTTGTCGCTTGGTACTTTTCATTATTGATTATATTCGTGCTGCCCCTAGATGTTTCCTCGGTGAGTCGATATTTCTCCCTAAATTTCTCGAAACATCTCCGAAACTCAAAAAAAAAGTCTCAATCGTCTGAGTTTGAGATGTAGAGGTACAAAGGAACATCTCGATCGACGAAGCTATTGGAAAGTCGATTGCCTGTGAAATTTTTCGAAAGTAATTTATTATTTAGGGAAAATTAATTAATCATTGTAATTTTTCAGACCGTGTACCGACAATGCATGGAGAAAAATCTTGTGGTAAATTCGTCGAATCAAATTCTTGAATCAAATGGTACTGTTCCCTCGACCAATTGTTTGAAACCGTGGTCGAGTGTTCCAGACAACGTTTTCCCCAATTTATGGAGAATAGTGTACTGGACGTCTCAGTGCTTGACGTGGCTGATCCTTCCCCTGATGCAGTCGTACATAAAAGCCGGAGACTTTACAATCCGAGGGAAGCTCAAGTCAGCGTTAATTGACAACGCAATTTACTACGGAAGTTACTTATTCATCTGTGGAATTCTGTTGATCTACATTGCCCTCAAACCAGGACAGAATTTGGACGGGCAGAAATTGAAGGCCATCGCCTCCTCAGCCTCGAACACTTGGGGTTTATTTCTCCTGGTGTTGCTGCTCGGTTATGCCCTGGTGGAAGTCCCCAGAGGCCTCTGGAACTCCAGTAAACTCCCTTACAAGCTCCAGTACAGTTATTTCAAGGCATCAAAATTAAGTCTGGAGAAGTGTGAAGCTGAGGAGACTGTGGATGACATATTGGAGTCTCTCCACGCAGCATCCGCTGCGATAGGACCCAATCACCCATTCTACAGAAATCTTGAGACTATTTTCCAGAAAGTTCCTGTCGAAGTGAAGGACAAGATAAGCAGGAGACAATTGCCAGACGATACCCCACTCGATGGCCCATCGGAGAAAGCTTTGATCAGACTTCACAGACAGACTATCAAAGCTCTTCAGACCCTCCAGAGGACTGAAACCCAGTGGGGAATTCTGATGGAGAAGATTTTCCAACTCGAGGATATTGCCAATAATCTGTCGAATCACGACAGAAGATTCAAATCTTCATTCGGAAAACTTCGACCACTCTACATAAGAATCATCTGCAATCCAACAGTCGAGTGGTACTGGAAGTGTATGATAAAGAGTTATGTGCAGAGAGCAATTGCTGTTGTTGCTGGATGTCTTTCAGTTGCTGTTGTCTGGTCTGAAGTGACGTTCTTCAATAAATCCCCCGTTTTGTCCCTCTTTGCACAGTTTTTAAACTTGGCTAAAGCTAAATACGATTATCTCACGATTGAAATACTCTCCACTGTTATTATTGCATATCTGTGCTACTGTGCATATTCTACAGTATTGAAGATACGCTTATTGAATCTTTATTATCTTGCACCCCATCATCAAACTAATGAGTACAGTCTCATCTTCAGTGGCATGATGCTCTGTCGTCTAACACCACCGATGTGTCTCAATTTTCTTGGGCTCATTCATATGGACTCGCATATTATCAAAACGCACATTCTCGAAACTCATTATACCCAAGTTATGGGACATATGGATGTCATATCCATTATCTCGGATGGATTCAATGTTTATTTTCCAATGGCTATTTTAGCTTTTTGTTTGGCTACTTATTTTAGCGTTGGTAGTAGACTCTTGAATGTACTTGGGTTTCAACAGTTTCTTGGGGATGATGAGCTCACCACTGATCTTGTTGATGAGGGAAGGGAGCTTATTCTTCGGGAACGAAGAAAACGACAGAGAGCCGAGGATTCGGTGACACGCAGGCGTGAATTTCAGGAACGATTCATAAATCCAACATCAGCATCGTCTAGATACAGAAATAGTCGTCAGGGAAGTGACACTGTAAGACCACTCCGGAGAGATGAGTCCACGGAATCAGCTAGGGCTGGTCTCCTGCGAGATTTTGAACCCAGTGAATACTACGTTGGTACTACCTATGACAGTGCTAATTCGTACAGTGTAAATAATTACGATGGTGGCTATCAAGCAGCTGATTTTTATGATTCACGTAACGACCAAACGAGGAATTTCACATCATCAAATTCCAGTTGGTTAACTGGTCCTCCCAGACGAATATTTGATGATGTGTGAAGTCTCGGAGTTTTGGTCAAATTTTTATATTGAAGTTTAGAGAAAATTGGAGGAATTAGGAGATAATATATTGCAATGATGATAAGTCAATAGTATTTATTCATTCATAGGCAGTTTTTGATGTAATTATGTTATGAAATAATGGAAATATCTGCCTTAGGAAAAAATTTTTCATGAATATCATGATGTAATGTGTTGTGTAATGCTATCAAGAGTTGAATAAATTCATATTAGAAATTAATCAAAAGAGCAAGATTAATAGATTAATAGATTTTTATTTCCCATATTTCATTGATTATTAACTCCATTCGGCAGTTTTATTGCTCCCTAGCACTGATTGGACAAGTACAGATCCCCGAACAATAATCATCGAACAAGATTTTCCAAGACTAGTCCATAAATTGGTAGATTCAATTAAAAGCGAATAAAATATTTATTCAGTACAGCAACACGCAGATGAAGACTATTGATTCGTTTATGGAAAAATATTTGTATTTGATATCTCACTTTAGTCTTTTCTCGGAGTTTTAAGAAAATATGCTTTTTGTACAATTTCACGTCTTATAATAAACTTTGATTATCACCCGATAGGTTTTTTTACATCCTTGGAAGTCAAATAAAATATATTACTTCATTCATAAAACATCACATACAGTTAACATTTCAAACCAGAAACAAACCATCTAAATTTAAAATAAACAAAACAACGTAAAAAATCATGAATTAAAATCGAGTTCTCTCCGGATTCCAACTAAAATCAATAGACAGAAAAAATAAAATTATATTGAAAAATTTTTACCTGCCCTTTAACTTTCAATAAAAAAAAAGCAATATATTTCCCCTACAACCCCATTCTGTCGTCAATTTTTTTCCATCGAAATTCCTCAACCTGATTTTTCTCAAATCCGGTGAAAAAATGCCAACGAAGAGCTTCCCGCGAAGAAAAAAAAATATACGCGCTGGACTGAGCGGAATTGCTCAGTGACTTCATTTTTGTACTCCACAATAATTATTCGATGGACGGAGAAAAGCAGAAGTATCAGGCAAAATAAACAATGTAAAATGTAACAATCACTAGAAGAAAAAATGATAGAGTATAGGCAATAACAATCCTCACTATTTTCACATGCTCGTTATGTGCAATTCTATTTTTCTCTCGAATTTCTCTGGGGGTGGGAAAATCCGGGATAATGAGAAGTGGCTCAAGGAGCATGAGACTCGATCTGTGGTGCATCCGCATCGATAATCTCAACCCATCATTTCCATCACTGAGTCTACTTTTTCTGCGCTCATATGCCATCCAATTCTCAAAACTCTCCTCCTGGATATTATCAAAAATTTTCGGTTTAAAGACGACATCCCTCGAGGCCCTGCAAAAAATATCCACAGCTGATCGATGATAGACATCAGTATTTGTTGCTCTGCGGTCCACATTTCCATCACAAAATTCAATATGTGGAGAGAGACATAAGTCCAGGCGGAAAACATCTCGGTAATTTTTCTTGGAGTAAAAAATTCCAGAGTCATGCGTTTTGAGGATATTAATAACGGGCATATAGTCCTGGAGTATCTCCGGATTCTTCAGTTTGAAGTGCAGCTGAGACGAGAGCAATTCAGGCTGACATATTGAGACTTCTCTAGCTAGAAGAGGTTTCCCGTTGTAAATCAGCTGATCGCTGTAAACTTTGGAATTTCCACTGCATTCCAAACACACATTACAGATCTCTCCATTGAATATTTTTCCAGGATCGATCATTACCCCATTTTTATCACAACCAGAAAATTGATTGATCTCTTCATAAACGTGATTATTAGATTGAATATAATTAACACAACCACTAGGATGAGTCTCATTGAATCCGTCATGGCATTCTACAATCGTTGTGCTATTCGTGTGAGAAGAAGCGCTGTCTCTGGTATCACGGGATCTATTAAAAAATGCGTGTGTATCTTGCTGGGAATCAGGATCTTGCACTAGTGAGATAATATTTTTATTACTGAAACACGTGTTGCCCCTAACGACGTGGTTATTCTCTAGATTTGAGTATTCTAAATTACGATGAACACACGCAAAATTGTATCAGTTGGTGGAGTCGGTTGCATCCCCTTGAGAGAGTTTTTTCAATTCATAGAGTGTTTCGAGTATTGTTCCAGCACTCCATGCTTGAGTCCGACAACTGTCCCGACAGTAATCCCCATCTTTATTCGTTAATTCTGGGAGTCCCCTCCAGTGATTAGTCGATGCCTCGACAAAATGTTTCGAGAGAATTGCCTCAGTCGATTGAATAGTCCTGCGTAATTCCTCCTTGCCACCTACGAGAGGTGCAAAATGAAGTCGCGCACGAAGGAAAAATCCCATGGGCCATACCCACTCTGGGCCCTGATGGTAGTTCCAGCCCTGCGCCAATTTTTGATCAGCTGAATCATTGGCATTGTCGTAGTATCCATTGTACGCCCAGTCAGCTGGATCCAGAGTTTTCATTCCAAGTGGACCAAGCAGAATTTCCTCTGCTTGCTTGAGTGCAGTCCAGGCATTTTTTGGGGTGAATAATTCTGGAGCCACTGCCATTGCAATAGCAAAATTAGGACGCAGTTGGTAATCGGCCCATGCCTGCGAGGCGCCATGGCTGTCTTTGCAGATTCCTCGACGATGAATCAAATCCGGACTCAATTCTCCATTGGTTGGATTTTCATTAACGTAAAAATATCTCTCGAAATTTTCCTGAATTTTATCAGCCCACTGCTTGTAACTCCAAGTAACGACACTTCCGTCTCTATTTCGCCGTTGGACACTGCCATGTGGGAATAAATTCTGTTTGTACAATTCAGCGAAGTACGTAAGAACAGATTTGCTCAGTCCAACAATTTCAACAGCTGATCCATCACGAGGTGTCGCAGGCTTACCCTTGTTCCCAGCCTTCTCAGAAGATCCCATTTTATCCATCCACGTGCCGCAATTCGCCTCATTCCCTCCAAAAATAAATCCAGTCTCTGGATGTACCCCAATTTGATTGTTGAATCCACGATCTGTCATTTGCTCGTCAATCTGTCTCCCAGCGTTTCTCTCGCGGAAGCATAATCCCTGGAAATGGACAATCAGGGCCTCTTGAATGACGTCGTGCAGAGGCTGATCAATCTGACCAGCTGGAAGTGCTGGAGAATCATCAGTTGGGTAGAGTCTGGAGACCTTGTCAGTGAGGATCTTCATGCCATCGGGAACTTGTTGAATGTAACACTGAATGGTGTAGAGCCACCACCAGACAGCATCACGACAGTTGTACCGCGCATTTTTACCCCTGTCCAAAAGATTTGGAATCAATCCATGCCTGAGAGTTCCAGCGAATCCCAGGATGATGAATCTGGCGTCGTCATAACGTCCAGTCAGCAGTAATAGCCCTCTCACTGCAATGAAAGTGTCACGACCCCAATTGCGCATGTAGCCCACAGTAAAGTGAGGCAGACCCGCTGATAATGTGACACATTCCTGCTCCTTCACTCCATTACGCTCCTGAATCTTAGGTCTAGGTGTTGCGAGGGTTGGAGACAGATCTGGAAGAGGTGCCGACCTGATGATTCCCCCCATCTGAATCGAAACCAGTGATAATAGCTTTACAAAAGTCGATCCAGTCTCCACAAATTTCGACATTTTCACGTAACACTGCTCCAGCAGAGTCATGTACACATTAATGATGATGACATCGAAGTACCTTGGAACGAGATACCTGGGGATAAGCTTGAAAGGCTCAGACTCTCTCTCCAGCCACTTGCCAAGTGCCAGAGTTCTTTCATCCCCTTTCAACCGCTGCCAGGTATAATCAATCAACCAATTTCCATCACGCAAATTACCACAGAGGGGATGCCCCAGGTCATTGTTCGGTCGAACATCAGCCAGAAGAGAGACAATTCCCTGGAGGCCAGCGTAAACCAGTGGCCCATACCCAGGAATATCGTAGACCCCGAATTTATTTTCTGTTTCGTCTCTCTCCTCTTGGTCACATCTATAGAGAATTTTATTGATATCCGAGAGTTCGAGTTTAGAAACGATGGAGCGTAACTCTGAGTTATCGATGCCAATGGTGATCGATGTGATGGTGTTATTGAGGGCCTCGAGTGCCGGTCTGATGTTGGAATGGAGAGCTACCCGAATGGCAACGACAGAGCCAGGTTGAAAATTAACAAAATTCAATTGAGTGATTTTTGCATCACCAGAGTCAACTTTCTGAAGAATTCTTGAATCTGGCACTTGAATATGTTCTCTCATGTTGATGACGTAGTCACCGAGTCCATTTATGTATTGTGCATTCTTCTGATGCATGTCAGGGAATTTGAATGGAGTTGTTCCATCCTTGTAGAGCAACGAGGCCTCCAAGATGATCTCCTCGACGACCCCTTCAACTCTGAGAGGTCTGACATTTCTCCTGAGATCCCTGGCATTAGAGTCTGGATGATGGAAGGCAGTGAATGCAACCAGAACGACACTCTCATGGGTCCCTGGAGAGTGTCTCGTCACAGCGACGACATCAGGGTCCATTTGGTCAACAAAAACTTGAGAGAAATTCTGATTTCCCAAGGTGAAATGCAGATTATTAATGGCACGTTTTGCAGATATTATCCCAGACCCATCACTGACGTACTTTGCATTCTTCCGAGGATGTTCGTGATCAGAAGTCCAGGCTGTGTACTGTCTCGTCTCATCGACGACATGGATATGATGGGGAACGAGTTCGTCATAGCCCCGGTTGCTTCCACTGGCGCAACAAGCCATGGAAACTAAAGCAGCAGATGGCAGAAGATCGAAAACACTTCTCTTCTCGATTGGACTCGGATTGTCATGAGTTTGATCCATGAATAAGGCATGTGCAATGCAGGGGACGAGCGGACGCTGCTGTGGCTGCAAAAATGCCCCCACAGGTTCACCCCCATAACGATAAATCAGGCGTCCCTCTTCGTGACTGTCCCAGGCTGCCATGGCCTCACGAATCAGTGAAGTTATTCCCAATCTATTCACAAAGATGTTGTCCTTTTGATCGGAATTCGTAAATAATTCAGCCACGACGTAGAGATTGGGGCGAACCTTGCGTGCTGCATCTAACATGTATTCAGCAACTGGAATTGGAGTTGAGTGGCAATTGTCGAGTCTGACTCCATCAAAAATCCTCGCCATTTGTTGAACGTAGGAAGCCATGTGCTGCCACAAGAATGGACAATCCTCAGGTTTATCACCAAATCTCAATTTAACACTGTCCCCCCAGGCGATCAATTCTCGTCGGATATAGACGTTGGAGCCAGGATCAGCAAAATTTTTCAGAGGATCTCCGTTCATCACCCATCCGTTGTGGGCCATCAAGTAGCAACCGGATTCAGTGTACATCATGGCCTCGCGATCCACGAGAGTCTTCGGGGCTCCATAATCCGTGAAATATCGTGGGACCAATGGATTTCTGGCGCTTATCTCCTTCAGTCTTGGTCCATCAGGCTGAACCCTGAAGTATCGAATTCCAGATACTGTATTTTCCACAGCTGCATTCAAGTGATTCTGCACTTCATTGATAATCTCCCGATTGAGTTCTTCCAATTTTCTGCGGAATTCCTCGGCGCAGCGTTTTACACGTGAATCTTCATCGAAGCAATCTTGCCTGTAAACGTTGTAGATATTCAAAGCCAGTTGCATGTCAATTGTGGCCTTGAGACGACGGCATTGAGGATCTCTGATGATTGAAATCGATTGGTTCGAGTCGGCTGGGATGTCCTGGGGCATTCTAGTGCGGGAGAAGCTGACGAAATCAGCAACCACTACGTCAACGTCTAGGGTGAACAGCTCTTCGATTTTAACGAGGGGAAGATAATGGGTTTGGAGTGCATAACGAATTGCGTTGAGGTGATCCTCGTTGTCGACGACCGGAGGAATTCCCTTGAGTTCCCAGTCACCAGCTCCTACTTGGAGGGTTAATTCGAAGAGAGCTGCATCCAGGAGATAAGAAGGACGCAAGTGAGGGCTGTTGTAGCAATTGTACGTGCACTCTGGGTGGGATACCAGGAATGGGCTCTCGTTGGCTGTGTGATTCAAAACGATATCGCAAATTGACAGTACTTTCCAGTCGTTTCTCAATTTATTGGTCAACGCCTCGATGTCGTCGAATGTCGCTGGTCGATCATTGCTGTCGTTGAATGACGAATTGACCTTCAATTGATCACTCAGACTATACGCGGATTGAGATTCACCTAGTTCTTGAATTGGTGTAAAATGAATCATGTTGTAACCAGAATTTTTTGATACCAGGAGTTTCTCCTCCCACGTAGAGATGGGTCCCAAATTCTTGGACAACACTGTTTGACATTGGATGCAGTCCAGTGACAATTTCTCGTTTGATGAACCCAGGATTAGCTCCGGCTCCACAAGGATGTAGCCCGATGCCACGGGTTTCAGGTCATTCGGCTCCTGACTGTCAGTCAGGTAGTAGTGGAATGATCCAGCTGTTGTCAGTCGCAGATTTGCCGATCCCTCTGTCCATTCTAATTGGTGGTACGTTTGTCTCTGGAATTGTTGGCCCAGAGATATTGGATGGTTGGTGAAGATGTTCAATTGGCGGCCGAAGAGGGAAGGGCCCAGGGAGAACTGCAGATGCCAACCTGAATTTTTTTTCAATAGATTTTCATAGAGACTGCATAGAAAGATCTGCGTAGATTCCCATAATTAATTAAATTCGTGTATATTAACTAATTTTACCTTGCTTAACTCTGTACAAAATTCCATCCTGATGCTCTCCCTTATTCAACGTTAAAATTCTCACCGGCTCATTTTTCGTGGGAGCAGATGCATCTGCAACAACTGATTTTCGCTCCATGTTTTCCACCACCGTCTAGAAATCACGACAAAGATAAAATAAAAAAATAAATATGCGTCAACTGTGAATGCTTACACGTGAAAAAACTGAGAACCAACTAGTGCAAAAGTGTCAGAGCTTTGCCTTGATATAATCTACTATAACAATGCAATCACAAACCATGCACAGCCACAAGAGCTACTGAATTACTTCTTGTTCCACCATGCAAGCAGATATAAAGCTGTAAGTTTATCTTCAATGAAAATAATTCTCTTATTTCTATAACTATGCCCCGAGGCCAAAGCACCAGACATCTAAAATTTCCCCTCTACAGTTCCCAGTGATTCCAATTACAATTACCATATTAACTTACATAGGACCAGAAAATTCTTAGGCAATTCCATTTGCTGAATACACGAATAAAATTTCCAATCTTGTTGAGTATATTCTTCATTGAGCCCCAAATTGTACGACGCAAGTCCATTGATATTGTTTTAAGTGCAGTGAAGCAAAAATCTCAAAGCTGTTTATATTGTGCAACAATTATTTATTTCTAGTGAGTGATTTAAAAAGAGGAGCAAGTAATTTGAAAAGAAAAATCACTCTGGATAGTTGACATGCGATAATTATACGATGCCATGCGTAATCAGAGTAATAAAAGATATTGTTCGAAAAATATATATCTGGTCTTTAGCCAAGATTCTCTATTTAATTCAGACGAAATATATATCAAGATGAGCTAGAAAGCAATGAAAAATACTCTTGAAATTACACTGAAATTAACTGATCACTGCAAATTAAATGAATTTATATTTGATAAGAATTTTTATCAGTTACCTCAGTGATTATGCGCCTATTCACGTGAAACAATCGTGGCAATCAACTGAGATGATCTTTCAAATATGACCTCTAGGCTTGAGGAATATTTATGTAAAGGTCATCTATGCAATAATAAACATTTTTCTCGGGGAGAGGTTATGTGCAGTCAATTTTCAAAGTATCTATTGGATGAAATTATTGCCGGGAGAAATGCAATTCAATTCAAATGGACCAATCATTGGTCTAGAATCAGTTGTCATTACAAACATCCAAGACTAATTACTCCGTCTACTGATCCCCAATTTTACGACCCAATGATATGGAAAAAGCCGGTAATTATGATAAAAATAATTCATTGAAATTTCAATAATTGTCGCAGAGAAGAACTAAATGGAATTCTGCAAAATTATTTTATTGAAACAAAATTTTCAATTGGTTTGTCACTCTGTTGAATTCATTGTAGAGTTTAGAATGAGATTAGACACTAAATAAAATTTTAAATATTTCATTACTCCAGTAGTGAATGAAATAAATATTTTCTTACTCCAATAAATTCTACTTTTTTTGTTTTATTTTTTTACTAGCGCCACCCCCGCCGCTGGGTTTATCCTCAATTTTCGACGATATTAGTGACTACATAGAATGACTTGACATCTATGCAGTTTCAAAATGGCTACTGCAACAGACGAGTTGAGTGAGTAACACATTACGAATTATCATTTATTTTGAGTACTTACTAATTGTTTCAACCGCACTGATTGTCCAGTAGCATCTTCTCTAAATGAGTGATGAGTCAGAAAATATGAAAAAATCAGCAATCCCTAAACTTCCTATTTTCATCCATAAGTTGAATGTCATGCCGAAGTTCTTAGCTAACTTCAAATGTGTCTACCTGTTTATTTTTATCTCACTGCAAAAAATATTTGCCTCACATCCCATCGCTTTTTCCTGAACACTGTGAAAATAATTTATTAAATTACAATCATATTGTCATTGTAATTACTTGTGATATTGCAGACCTCTTGGAGAGGGTCTCCTTGTGTTTGGGATGTGCCGACACAGACGATAAACTCCAGTCGTCAGTATGCAAATTCCTACCTCCAGTTTTGCAAAAGATCTCGAGTCCCCACGCCGATGTGAGAAAAAAAGTGATGGGTCTGCTGATCCACATCACGAAACGACTGAAGAGTCGGCCAAAAGTTCAACTTCCAGTGGAGGCACTTCTGCTCCAGTACCAAGACCCAGCAGCGAATACTTTCGTCATAAACTTCACGATAATCTACATAAAATTGGGTTATCCTCGTATGGAGATGAAGAAACAGGTAGAGCTCGTCTCCAGTGTATTGAACTCGATCAAAGGTAAACCCCTGCTTCACCAGGACAGTTTAATTTTTTTAATTATGCCAGCCGTGGGCCACATTCAGGCCCCAATAATCGCTGATAAACGAGCAGCACTACTGAGTCTGGAAGACAAACCGTATGTTGCAAAGCAATTGATACTCTTTATGCTGGATATGTTACTCCTGCCATACGGTGCAGTGGGTCAAACTGATGGTCAGCAGAGTGGACAGCCCATCGACTGGTCGAAATATCCCGTTCCCCCAGGTCTCAGTGAATATTCATTCAAACGAGCCATCGGCGAAACTCCACTACTTCCTGCAGAACTAGAACAGGTCAAACTGGGAATTGTCAAATTCATAACAACAGGGTTCTTCCCAAGGAATGGTATCCTTATTCACCTGATTGTCGCAGCAGCAGACACAAGATTCAGTGTTGCCAATCTAGCTGACATGGAGCTGAGGAAGTTGGTGGGCTCTCTCGACTGGTCCTCCACGTTACTGGCACAGCCTCTTTACATGGTGTTCCTTGGATCCAGCTCGTTCGTACAGGAAAACCATCTCAAGCCAGAAATGAAACGACTGCCAGCAAACACTAGGATTCGATTGAAGTTGCTTGAATACCTCTGCCGAGTCTCCAGGAATGGATTTATTATTCCAGCAGCTACTCAAGTGATCTTCGACTCACTTTACGGTAACAATACAAATCAAAAATTGAAATACCTGGCACTGGACTTCACCCTCAATCTCATCGATCAGCCATCATATCAAACGTACAGCCAATTATCAACAACCATTGTCACTGGATTACTCAAGTTAATGTCCGCCGAAGACCCCAAGCTTCAAGCAATGACATATACAATAATCGCTCGACTGGTCGGAAAAACTCGTAAAGTTCTGAAAACCAACCTGAGTATCGTAATGAAATACTTCCATTCTCTAGCCAACGTCAAAGACAACCTAGAGCTCAAGAGAACCATCAGGGATGCCCTCGTGTTGATGGAGCCGGCCTTAGTATTTGACCGTGAAAATACAGTGGGAATCGAGAAAATGAATTCAATACTGACTGATCACATTGAATCGGAAGACTCCTATGCGCGATACGTTGCCGTTCGTTATGCATCGACACTTTTCCCCTCTGATGACATCCCATCCAAGTACCTTTTGCTCCTGGCATGTGGCGACGAGAAGAGTGAATTTTCTTCTGAAGCTATCGAGGCACTTTATGCAACAGCTAACAAAAATTCACCACAGAATGTTGGCCCCTCCCCTGAATCTGTTGAACCGCACAAAAGCGATGAGGAGCCTGCCCTCCCCCCATTCCCAAATCTCGTTCTGTACATAAATTCCCAGATGAGCACGAGAATCACCTCGAACCAAGTGATTTCAGTTGGCAATCACTCGTTACCCTACAAGGTTGCTACTTTCAGTGCAATTATTTCGTATCTTCGTTTTTGTTTAGCTAAAAGCGCGAATGTGAATACTCGACGAACTCCCGGTGACAGTCATCCCTGTGAATATACACCACTGATTGGTCGATATCTAAAGCAACTTTTGCAAACGGATAGCAAATCCATTGATGCGTATCTCGAAATTATTAATTGCTTGAATCACGTGACCTCCGATACAGTTCCCCTAAATGCTCTTTTGGAAGTGGTGGGTTCTCTTTCTCCAGATATGCTGGACAAATTCGCTGAAGAGCTGAAGTTTCTCAAAGGTCTTCTTGCATCTACGAAGGAAGATGTTCGGGTATTGGCTGGAAAGATTCATGCGATTATAATGGCTCATCAGTCAAATCTCGAAGAGTTTGAGTATCGAGTAAGTGAATTAATCGCAGCAACGAAGCACAAGACTCTTGAAATTCAGCATGGCGCCCTGCTGGCTCTATCATTCATGTTTGAGCGGAAATTATTTCTCAGGAAAGCGACAGATGATAAAGAATCTATTTTGTCATGGAAGCCATACATCGATGGAGTCAAGACAATCTGCGAATTTCTTAAAAGCAATACGCCTTCATTAATTGAAGCAGCAGCTCAAGGAATCGGAAATATTGCCAAGAGTTTTTCACTACCACTGAAGAATGACGATGGCGATAATCTCAGTAAAAAATCCATCGTTGAGACACTCTTTGGAATTCTAAAAAATACCAAGATGAATCATCGAGTTAAAGAGAATGCAACCACAAGTCTGGGGCTGTTGTGCCTCGGTGAGGATTTCCCTTATGCAAAGGACATAATAGAGCAGTTCCTGGCCTTGACGAAAGAGACAAAGGACTCATCTGTCCACTTTATCATTGCTGAAGCTCTGGTGCTTTCTGTTCAGGGCCCAGCAGCTACTGAAGCTCGTGATGCTTGGGAGACACTGCCAGAGGAGCATCAGATACCCTTTACTCCACACAACGACAGTTTATTGGAGTATCTGTTGGATCGTCTGTTGAAAACTGTCAGTGATCCACATCCAAATTCCCGTCAGGCTGTTTGCATCTGGTTGTTGGCTGTTCTTCGACGAAATGCCAAAAGAAGACATATTCTGGATAGACTCCCAGCCATCCAGAGCGCCTTCATGGATTTTTTGTCAGAGAACAATGATCTCGTCCAGGATGTTGCGTCGAAAGGGATTTGTCTGGTGTATGAGACGAGTGAGGTGAGCCAGAGGGATGCTCTCGTCTCAAATCTCCTCAATCAATTTTGCGAGGGTCGACGAACAGTAGCTCAAGTTACACCAGACACCAAATTATTCGAGGACGGCCAATTGGGAAAATCTCCCACAGGTGGCAACATCTCCACATACAAAGAAATTTGTTCTCTCGCTTCCGATCTCAATAATCCGAGCTTAATCTACAAATTTTTACAATTAGCCAATCATAATGCTGTGTGGAATTCGAAGAGAGGTGCGGCTTTTGGTTTTTCAGCGATCGCAAGTATTGCCAAGAATGAGCTGAATAAATATCTTCCCAGTATTGTTCCAAAATTGTATAGATATCAATTTGATCCCACTCCGAAAATTCAACAGAGCATGACGAGCATTTGGTACGCAATTGTTCCATCGACACAGAAAGTCCTCGAGCAGTATCATGACGAGATTCTTCAAGATATCATTCCCAATCTGACAAACCACATGTATCGAGTGAGAATCAGCTGCTGCGAGGCACTGGCTGATGTTCTCAAATCAAATGCACGTATTGATTACGTTAAGCATGCGCCAGAAATTTGGAGACAATTATTCCGAGTGATGGATGATATTCACGAGGGTACGAGGCAGACAGCTACAAAAACAGCAACACTCTTCAGCAAAGTGTGCTTACGTCAGTGTGATCCGAAGTCTGGAAAATCTGGAGAGCAGATTGTTCAGGCTATTCTGCCAGTTTTATTGAACATTGGAATTGTTGATACTGTCACGAGTGTCAGAGCTCTCTCTGTGCAGACAGTGGCACAGCTGGTGTCCACTGCTGGTCCTCTTTTAAAACCATCTCTGGTAAATTTAATTCCAGCACTCCTCACTGCAACAGATCTTGAGAATACAAAGCTTACGTACATGAGCAATGTGTATGGAGCACAATCCGACGTGCAAGAAGCCATTGACAGCGTTCGAACGAGTGCTGCCAAGAGTCATTATGCAACTGAGGCATTGAAGAGATGTACTCTGTACATTGATGCTGAAATTCTCAAAGATCTCATGCCCAAAGTTATAGAACTGATGAGATCGAGCATTGGACTTGGTTCCAAAGTTGCCGTCTCTCACTTTCTCATATTCTTGATGATTCAGTCAAAACAGGAGTTGCAGCCCTACGCTGGAAAAATCCTAACAGCCCTCATGAATGGCTTGCTCGACCGAAATGCAGCTGTTAAGAAGACGAATGCAGTGACAATTGGACATGTTGTGGGTTCCGCTAAAGATTCAAGTCTAGAAAAATTATTCAATACTCTCAACACTTGGTACATGGAGAAGGAAGATGATTCTTACAGGTTGGCAATTGGCCAGACATTCCAATCGATAAATAATCACAATCATGAGGTTCTCAAAAAATTCTCAGATATCATAATGCCTCTTGTATTCTTCGCAATGCATGCTGTCAAAGTACCAGGGAATGAGAACACCATTGAACTGTGGACAGAGCTCTGGGGTGATATAGCCCATGGGACAGAATCAGCCATTCAGCAGAATTTGGAATTGATAACAAGTAAATTGAGCTCAGCCCTGGAATCAGCTTCTTGGACCATCAAAGCCCAAGCAGCGAATGCTGTCTCGACAGTTGCTACTAAAATAGGATCCAGTATGGACGATAATTCCAGGAATGGTCTGCTGATGGTTCTGATCAATGGTCTCCAGGGAAGAACGTGGAATGGAAAGGAGACATTGGTCCAGGCGTTGGCTACTCTCGCTTGCAACAGTAAAGAGTCATTGAGTAAAAATCCAGAACTGACGATGGCTATCACTGAGGCCCTTCACAAGGAGAGCTGTAAAGCAAATATCGAGTACCGTCGTCATGCACTCGAAGCTTTTGCTGACGTTCTCCATGAACTGGAGGTAGATCGGTTTACTCAGCTTTACGATATTGCCCAGGATATCCTGATCAAGATGGCCAAGAAGAATGATGATGATGACAGTGACAATTACACCACTGAAGAGAGTTCTAAGAGACGAGAGGATCAAATGAAACTCCAAGAGACTGTTTACAAAGCTCTTGGGAAAGCCTGGCCTTCTTCAATCGAACATAAATCGACTCAAGATGAATATTGCCTCCAGTTTGTCACCCACTGTCACGAGACATTGGTGAATAGCACGAGGCCCACTCAGGTTGCCATCATGACGACTTTAACTCTCTTCGTCGAGAAACTAGTGATTCTAAAATTAACTACTGAGGAATTAACTGAGAATGATAAACAAAAATTACATCAAATCTGTGAGACACTCCATCAAATACTGAAGGGGGCGGTAGGAATATCGACGTACACGAATATTCGTAAGAAGGCACTCGACGTCATCCTCATTTTGTCGAAAAAACTGATCGATCAAAATAATTCAGAGCAATTGGAAAAGATCAAAAAATTATTCTCTGAATTATTGCATGATTTCTCTCGGGACAAACAACCGGAAATGAGAACAAGAGTGGCTGATATTAAATCAATACTGCAGATAGAATGAAGCAGAGATCGTTAATTTTTTAATAACAAAGGTGAGGATTCCAAATAAGTAATAATTCTGTTGCGAAGTGGTAAAATAGGACGAGGACATTTTTTTAAAAGCCGGTCATCGTTTAAAAACTTGGCGTCGAAAAAAATCTACTTATCCTAGTTTACCACTTGCCACTGAATTCTGAATAATTCGGACGAATTCGTGAAATTATTCAACGTATCATTATCACATATATACTGTACTCTATACATGCATTCAATTAAAAATATCATTGAACGTATTTTCAATCCCAAAATGTTATTAATTCAGAATTCCTATTCGCGGGAAAATTGTGAGTAAGAAATTAGTTAAGAAATAATGAATAAGGTGGAGCATGTATATTTAAATATTCATACAAAAGAGACGATTGAAAAATAATCAGTTTGACATGCATGAATATCATTTGATTTTTTTCACCAATATCGAAGCACCTGGTGTTTTTTTATTCTTAATAATCCCTAATAATCTCGTGAGTCTGGACTTCAAATCACTCACAACATTTTCAGCTTCATTTTCAAGCAGAAAAATTATGATAAAACAAGCTCGATTGTACTCAATCCACTGTGTGATCGTCTCATCGTCGAATTTTTTCACCAAATGTTCTCCGAATGTGGATTTCTGGTGCTCTACGAGATGCTTGTCTGCCTGAATTAATTTTTTCAGCATCATGTGTAATCCTGGATGCTCCACAGGAGAATATTCCATCTCTCCGTCCTTCAATTGTATTTTAGGAGATGTCAAAAAATCTGAAATTGCCTCATACGCTGCCACAAGTTTTTCTCCATGGCCAGCTTTTAATATTGCCAATGTTACCATAGCGATGGAGCCATTTGCCAGCCAGAAGACACAATCGCCAGCGATGGATTCGAGGAATGGATCATTGACGACCTCATGCAGCTCCTTTTCTCGGATTTCCTGAGGTTTCTTACTGATGGCATTTCCGTCTCCCTCTTTGAGCTGATCGATCAACTGTGGATGGAAATGATGAGTGTCCCGTCGTGCTACGAGATATAGAATAACTTTCTTCCCAAATTCACTCGACGCGATGTCTTTGAGATCGACAATCAACTCAGAAATCAAAATTTTCTTCAACAAAACTGTATCATCCACCGAATCAAATATCGAGAGAAGAATAACGTGTCCGTGTTCGGATATTGCCATGTCTTTAACGTGATCTTTCATCGATTTGAGAGCGAATTTTCTGTCCTTCGTTGTTCCATGCCAGATGCAAATCATCGCTATTTTCGAACCTTCTCTAGTCTTTGATAATTCGAAAATAGAATCTCTCAGCATCACTATTAATTCAGTTCTATCCTCGACAGAACAAACAGATAAAAATTCTAATAAAACCGTAAGGACAATAGAATTGTCAATTATTTTCTTATTCAAGATTCGAACTAGATTAATTTTTACTGCCGAAAGAGTTGCGGATTTCATATCAGTCGCGGTCTCGAAAACGTCGGTCAAACACTTCAGTTTTTTGTCCTTGGATTTTTTGTAGATATCTCCGTAAAATTCTTGTTTTAACTGATTTTTTGTTGCTTCTGAAGTCCAGGTGTTGAATGCATTATTGAAAACTGCAGCTGAGACACTGTGGGACACGATATTCACAACACGACCTTGACTCGATGCCATCACGGTTTCCCTGATCTGTGGAGATCCATATTTCAGCAGTTTCTTCATACAATTCACTGCATACTTCGACATCCACATGTTCTTGAACTCGGGAGTCAATTCTTCTGCAATTGATTGTCGCATTTCTGGAGTACAAAATTTTATCAGCCACTGGATTATCCTCGCGATGTCATGCGTGAAGATGAATCGTTTCAAATTTCCCTTCAAGAGTTCGAATAATTTTTTTATTAAATCCTCTCGCTCTTTTTCTGGACAATTTGATTGCCTCAATCTCTCTCCCAATTTTTTGGCATTTTGAGCCACGTCGTAACCGTTTTCCAGTCGTTTTATTTTACGTTTCTCCTTTAACTGTTTTTTCTCCTCTTTAACGGCCTTCCAGTCTGGTTTCTCTGTGGATTGTTGATTGTTGTGATTGTCTTTGGAGTTGAATGGTTTTTTTTGACCTGTGGATTTCTCGAACTTCGATTTCGATTTCTGAGAAAGTTTGTTCTTGATTTTTGAAGGCTCTTCAACAGATTTTTTAAATTTCTTAATTACAGGTTCTTCTTTCACTTCAACTGATTTACTCCGTTTCTTCATTGTTGTCTTGTCTGTGCCTAGAGAAGTCAGAAATTAAATTGAAATCATACATATCTTTTTGAATCTAGCACCTAGTAAAAAATACCTCCCACTAACCTTAAAATTCAATTTAAAATAACGATCGCTACACCTTCTGATGTTCTATCCGACCCTGCAATTCTCTGAACTCGACGTTTCACAATTAATCTCCCGTTACCACCAACAGTTCACCGAATTAATGAACAAATAAATGATTTATTTAAAAAGCCTGTGTGAAAAACAACGTGTACCCAGCGTGTCTGCGCAATTCCGTCGGCGCAGAGAAATAGATTAAATAAATCTCTCGAATATTTTGTTGTCTCGATTAGTAGTGTCTCGATACCAAATTCCAAATGACAATTGCAGAATTGATCAAAATCGGTGCTGATAATATGTAAAAACGGTATAGCCCTTGAATCAATCGTTATTTGATTATTTGAATCGCACAAATTTTCCGCTAATTATTTTTGTGTTCAAGAGTATTGATTCTGGTCGGAAGATATCGATACTCCTATCGACTATCGACACTGGAGAAGAACACGATTTCGTGATTATTCGGTAGACTTCGGTGGTGGGATTTCTTCTCTGATGCAGAATACAGGTGATGACCAATAGAAATCCCAGGAACAGATGAAAATCGAGCGGTGGGGATCTGGCAGTTGACAAGAAGGGACTGCAATCTTGTGACTGTACCAGAAAATTCAGTATCACTTTTACGAGAAAGCCTACTGTTGGCTCTTCTCGGATCGGTGTATGCCTTTTAAATAAAAACCCCAAGAAAAATCAAATACCTTCAATCCACAACATGCTAATGAGTTTAAATTCCATTAAAATATCTCAAAACCAGTGCAGTGGATTCAATATACGAAATAAATTACACAACACAAGACATTTACATTCTTGATTGTGGAATAAAGTTTTTAGTTCAATAAAATATAATAAAATTGAGGAAAGGGAGGTGTACACATAAGATTGTGCAATAGAGTGAAACAAAATGCCAGGCAAAGGTGGGAGAAAGGGTAACAAGGCGGGTAAGTTGTTATATAAATATTGGTGAATTTTTTTTTTTCTTTCCCCAACAGATTGGGTGCGTTGGTAATTGAATAATGGTATTAGTGCTGATAGGATAGAGGAATTTAATGAATTGGGCACGTGGTGACCATGTTGGTGCACGTTTTATGGGCATGGCATGCCCCCACGCCGCCCCATCCCATCGTCTCATGGTCAATACTTTTCTCAACCCAGCATTGCACAATATAACACAACAATCACATCATGCTTATCATTGGCATCGAATCCGAGAAATCCACCTCCATTAATTCCTTCAAATAGATTCGCTTGTAATTTTTCTTCCGTAATTTTTCGACCATCTGTCCCGAAAATCATTTCGTAATTGAACGTCATCCACTGGTAGTAGCCATTTTTCCAACTCCATTCGATCCTTTTAATTTTTCATTTATTCATCGTAATCTGTCATTTATTATCTCTTATCTATGATAAATTAGTACATTTTTTAGGATAATGGAAGAATACCCATCGATTGAATTTTTATTTTCGCATATTTATAAAATGTATGAGAAAATGGGACAGGGAGAATTATAAAAATTCGGAGTTTTCGAAAATCGAATTTTTTTTTTTTTATTTTCAGGTCACACTCACGGCAAACGCACCGAAGTGACATCCGATGATGAGTCAAGTAATAACGATACCGCGAGTATCACAAGCGGTCAATCAGACAACAGGAGTTTACTAGCTGATGACGTTAATGACAACGAGATTGATGAGCTCAGCCAGCAAGAGGTTTTCGAGGAGAAGCTGAAGGAAGCGATCGATGGCCTCTCCCAGAAGAGCGCCAAAGGGAGAGTCTCGTGTTTTGTCGGGATTGAGAAGATATTTGCCCTGAAATATGTACCGGATTTTGTTGAGGACAGAAAAATGACCATCACTGATTGCATTGAGAGAGGCTTGAAGAAAGGAAGAGGAGATGAGAGATCGACAGCTGCCAGATTGGGAACACTTTTGTGTGTACAACTTGGGGCCTTCGAAAGTGCCGAGGCCGTTTGTAGAGACCTCAAATCAACTCTTATGTTCATTGCCAATGATAACACTGCCTCGACTCAAGCCAGAGCTGAGTGTTGCTGGGCCCTGAGTATGAATCAATTTTTTTCCGGTAATGACGCCAGTGATACTGTAGAAATTGTCCATCTGCTGTCATCAATCTTTGCTGGGTCATACCTAAAAGGAAACGGAGCGATAGCTACAGTTTCACCTGATCTCGCAAGTCTACATGCCGCTGCCCTGTCTGCCTGGACTCTTCTCTTGACTGTCATGACACCTTCGGACATTTACAATTTTTTGGCAAGCAGTAAATCCAATAATTTCATGCCGTCGTTTGATCGATTGAGACAATTGCTTGAGTCACCTCATCTCGATGTCAGAATGTCAGCTGGTGAGGCACTGGCTGTCCTCTTCGAATTGGGACGAGATTTTTCTGATGACTACGAACAGGATTGGGCACTTGATTTGGTGGATGTACTCAAAGAACTTGCGACTGATTCTAATAAATACAGGGCTAAAAAAGACAGGAAACAGCAGAGAGCCAGCTTCAGGGATATTCTTCGTTACATCGAGGTATTTTTCACTTCGTATTTTTCAATTATTTCCCACTTCCAATTCCAATGCTATTCATTAATTTTTTAATGATTAAAAAAAATGCAGGGGTAACGATTTGGATTTGTTGGATCTGTTTGATAACTGGGGCATTAATATTTGATCATTTTTATGTTCCAGGAGGACATAACACCCGAAATGCAAATAAGATTTGCACAGGAGACACTTTATCTCGAGGGCTGGTGCTCCAGAATTCAATACAACGCATGCTGTCGTCTCCTAGGACCTGGTATAAACATCCATTTGGCCGAAAATTTACTTCTCCGCGAGATATTTCATCTGGGTAACCGAGCAGTTCCAATGTCATCCCACAAATCAACAAAACGTGAGAGAACTCTGATGAATGCTGCTGCATTTAAAGCACGTACCATTCAACGTAATAAAAATCGTGACAAACGTTCGGCAGCTATGGCACAATAATTAGGTCTCTTTCCTCAATATTATTTTGTCTTTTCTTAGCCCACTATTCACTCATCACACAATTTATTTGATTATCAATGAGAAAAAAAAATCTATGTTACAATAATTGCACGACAAAACTATTTGTATTGGCTAAAAAAATTGTCAAATATTTTTCGCTGGTCGCAAAATAGTTCAAGTGTAAATAATATGTATTTTCGTCGATAAATTTTCACTTCAATTATCATGACCGATTGCCTATTTTTTCAGTCGAATGGAATATTTATTTGTACGATGTAACACGATAATTGTCGATTAATATTGATAAACAAGGAACAGTTCATTGAATTATAGTATATTCTGATATCGACGACGTAGAAATGATTTGATAGGTTAACTTACTGTAACGTTTTACACTAGATACGTAGCTTTGCTGTTGAATTTTAAATATTGGTATTTATTTTCTGGGAATATTAAAAATTAAAAACTTGATTACATTTCGTAATTGATGTAATTTAAATATGATAATTAACTGTAATAAAATAATAATCAAGGAGTGGCATATTACCTCGTCGTTAGGAGTGTAAATTAATAGTCTGACTGGCAAATTCCTTCTCGGAGAGCATGTGCCATCTGTATCCTAAGATCTTCGATACCTCACGTTCCGTATCCTCGTAGTCATGACTATTTAATTTTACCCAATTCTCATGCTCCTCCGACCAATTCCCATACATCAACCAATCTTTATCGCACTTTTTCAAAACGACATTTCGACGTACATATAAATATTTCAGGGATTTCGCCACTGAGGCTATTTCCAGGATCGTCGCTGTTGATATCTTGTCTCGAATCATCTGCATCAGGTTCAGGAGTAAAATAGAAAAAAATTGATGCAATGGGAATTAACTAATTCCTATAGGGATTCAAGTACAATTTTACCACAATTAAAATCTTTAACATCCCCTGGAATATCAGACACGAGATGTACAAATTTAATTGTTAAACGGTAATTTTAGTTACCAGAGTGTTTATATGTGGACAGCTTCTGCAGAGTTGAACGAGATATGAATCCATTCGATGTGAAAACTTTCGGGACAGGTAATACTTGGATAATCCCTGCACTGCATAAGTCTTTAGTGTTGACCGAAAATTAATGGCTTGAGCCATTATGGTCTCCTTCGCCAGCTGGAATATGGTTTTTCATTTTATAATCTACACTGATATTTTTTCATCACTTACTTGGACCACTGGATTCCTGATGATGATACTGTGACAAGGTATCGAACTGTGCTCTGGAAATTCCAAGGGCAATGTCATCTCTGGCTTTTTACTTTCAACTTCAATATGAACTTGCAACTTTGGATTGTTCTTTCTGATTTTAATCCACGCTGCATTCCTAGGCTGAAACGCAATAATAATTGATAATTGACAGATATTCTGCTGCCTCTGGAGTTCGGAAGAAAATTGTATTAGTTACTCTTTTTAAATATTAATGAATCATTGTTCTAATGCAAATATAGACAATGTGAGATTACCAATTTAATCACAGAATTCACTGGACTATATTGATTTTGTAAAATATGCAAGTGCTCCAATTTCGTGTGACCAATCAACTCCAGGACATCCTCATCCAGATTCTGAGGGCTGACGACTAAAACCTGAGACGAACAATTGAGACATTTATTCCAAGACACCGTATTTTACGGTGAATTAAATAATAATTCACACTGTGGGTGGATTTTACCTCTAGATTGATGAAAACTCCGACATGCAAAAGGGGACAGTAAAACTTAGTGACATTGATGAGCACGAGTTTCCTGAGAGTTTCAGTGCAATTGGCGCATATTTCATCGAGAAAATACAGAGCCTCTCTGCTATCCAGCATCAAATCAATGAACTCGAGATATCTGAGGCACTTCAAATTCTGGGCAAGTCTCTTGACAGCTTCGAGGAGCTTTCCCCCAGTTCCAAATATTTTTATTTGCTCAGGATCACTGCTGTTGGCCATGTTGCAGGGAAATGTGAATTTCAAGTGTCGAATCTGGGTGCCAACGCCACACACCACTGGATCATTCGAGCTCTGATTCTCGATGTACCAGGATATCATGTTCATGAACTCGTAGAGATTGTAGAAATTGTACATTGGCTCGAATGTCAGTGATCGAAAGTTCCTTCCAACTTTGTTGAGGCATGTTGATGTCCTGATGTGATCCAGAACGTACTGCCATCCGCTGTAGTAATTATATTTACCTCTGGTGAGAGTCATGTCTTCCAGCGTAAATCTCGACCATACGTTGGGCAATTTGAAGGCTCTGTACCAGCTTCTGCAGACCAATGACGCATAATAACGCTCTCGAGTTGTTAAATATGAAAATATCTCCTCTAATATTATATCTGGCACTTGGTCCCATGCACTGTACACTTTTTCTCCGGTTGTACCATCATCTTCGTCGATATCGATGTAAAGAGCTGGAAAATCATCGGCAGGAATTTGATTTTTAAATCGTTTTAATCTCAAGGGTGTGATCTCCAGGTAATAATTATTTCTGAGAATATTCAGTATTTTCTACTTCATCCCAACTGCCACAAACCGTTGAATTCTAGTTCTTCCCATTTCCCAAGATATTCATTAATTAAATAATCTGATGAGTAGTGAAAAGTAAAAATAAAACACTGCAATATTCATTTTATTTTATTTTCTCTTATTTTATTTTACTATTTCATAATCAATAGTTTCTCTTTTATACTTTATAATATTTTCAATCATCTGCAGATTTTTTTATTTCGCCGGGGATTTCTTAACCAAAATCATCTGACGTTCTTGAATATTCTGTTTATATCTGGATAATTTTAGATTTTCAAACATTTTTTGGAGAGCAAAAGAAATAATCAAAACTCTCACCTTTCTCTTGCTCGTCAAATTTCCAGCCTCCCTTATTCATTCCCATTCTTCTCTGCTCATAATAATTATAGGATATATTATTTCGTATTGTTTCTATTTATAAATTCACGAATACCTTAAAGGACTGGGGTTTTGCAATTTTCCAATTTTCTTCGTAGAATTTTCACGGGGATTTAACGTGAAAAACCGCACGCCGATTGAACTATCCCCGGTTTATTTTTGACCTTTTCACGTATATTATGTATGTATACTGACATAAATAGAAAAAGACGACTCGGTTTTTCTAATTCTACTTCTGAAATAAAAGCTGCCAACATAACGAAGCCTGCGGTTTCCCAAAGTAAATATTAAACGAAAATTCAATTTACAAATAAGATATTCCTATGATAAGAATTGATACCAATCAAATAAATATAAACAAAATGAATTGATAGGATCAGTGAATTTCCATGATATCCGTTGATTTTTCGTGTTTGAGTGAAATTCCTCGTGTTTTTTTATTAAAAAAATATAATACAGACATGTTTAATATAAAACAACATCAAGAGATGTTTATTAAAAATATGATCAAGGCCACACGATCGATTCGATCCAATCAAGATAATAAGCGACTCGTGTATAAACACCTGGGAATTCTGGTGTACCACATAGTTTACCGAAACTGGTAATTCCCACGATGACATGTGCACAATTTTTTGCATTAAAAATTTGCAGTGGACCTCCAGAGTCTCCCCTACATGTGTCTCCTTTCCATCCACCCTGAGGATCACCTGCACATAACATGCTAGGAACAATTCCATGAGGAATTGCTATTGTTTGATTATAAGCTAATGCACAGGTTAATGTGTCGATGGTCTTCAGTTTCACCATTCGTAAATTATCCTGAACTTGTTCGTTTCCTGAAATCAATTGTAATTTTCATCGATGTAAGAGTCGCAATGGAACCAGTCAATGCAATTTAATGAATAAATTAATTGAACAATTTTTTATTACCAAATTCCAGGGATCCCCATCCAGTTGCTGACACTACCTCGGGTAGAACTCCCAAACTCGAATACAGACATGCGGGTTTTATTTTATCAGATAATTTAACTCCTCTTGCAAGTTCCATTAGAGCAATATCTCCGTACAGTCTTGGGTGTTTGTAGTTCGGATGCCGAATGATTTTTACAACTCCAATAATTACTCCTGATCTGATGGCACTCAATCTGCTGATTCCCAAACGTGCAACTCCTCTTTTTTTCCTAAATACGTCAATAATTAAATCGATAACTGCCAATAGTGAAATTCATTGAATTCATTGAATGTGAGTCGCGATAATGAGTCAAATAAACCTGCGGAAAAATGGAGGGAGGAGTCAGGATGAGGTGAGACATTTAAATAATATAATTAGGATTCTCACAAAAAATTGTCGGTGCAGTGTGCAGCTGTCAGAATCCATTTCTCAGATATTAGACTGCCTCCACATCGATGTATGAACTTCAAGTGCTTCTCGAACCATCCGAGTGCAACCATATGAGGAAAGTCTTCCCCTAGGACACCCCGACCACCAGATATTCTGGAATCAATCGATAGAGAACACTCGGACTTCGGAATGTCGTCAGTACCCAATAGTTTTGAATGGGAGTGCTCATATTGGTATTCTCTGCATTCTTCGTCCAAAAATATGAACAGAATTCATAATTGACATGCTATCATTAAATTGTTACATAGTTTTTTCATGTTAACCCTCTAAATAATTGTAATTGCCTGAATTAAATTGCCTTGATAAGAATAAAGGGTCGAAATTAGAAAAAAAAAACACCTTGAAGAACTCACTTTTTTCACTTATTCTCTCATTTGAGGATTCGGATTTTTTAGAGCTCCAATTGTCCTCGTTGTTTATTCCATTAGAATTATTCCTTCGTTGTATAAAACGCGAGGATTGTAATATATTAGACCCTACAGAATAGCTGTGAGTAATGCTTGTAAACAAAAAAACAATTACTACCCAAGTACTATAACCCATCATATTAAATTGACTCAATACTATATTATCGAATTATCATCAATGAAAAAATTATCATAATGATTTTATTCCTGAATGAAAAACTATGCAAAATTAGTAAGGAATGAAAATATTTGTGGCATTGGTTCATAAAAACCGGCGTTAATGATATACATACATATACTATATATGGCATATATATACCATATAGTATATATCAGATCAGCTGATAATATTTTAAAGTAGAGGCTCAGTTCTGGGGGTTGAGTGACCCCAGCGGCATCGTAGACTGCACCCCAAGAGAGGGAGGGCGCCACACGCTATGCTGGGGTGTTTTTTTTTATTAACCAAGTTTTTATTGCAATGCTGGGGTGTCCATCAAGTCGAGGGGGTGAATTTTATTTTCTGCTGTACGAATGCTTTTTGTTTTTCATTTGTTTAACTGAAATTTA